AGTCAGTGATAAATAAAGGCAGTAGTATCCAAAGTAAGGATTAAACAGACAATAAAAGGTCTTAGAGGTGAAAAAACGCTCAATAAAAGAGTTTGCTTGCACTCTGCTACCATTTTGGGTGTGGCTAGGAATGACGTTTTGTGATGCAACCAGTAATTTACTTCCTGTGGCAACTCAACTTGAACTAAGTATACCTTCACTGGTTGTTTGTTTAGTTTCTGTTGTCTGCTCCTCCTCCTTCTCCTCTCCTTTAACATCATCATTATCTTTATAATCTAGTAAACACACACACACATCAAACAAGTCTCTAACTATTACTGTGTGTGTGTATATACTTACCATCAGTTGTTCCAGTAGACACTTCCTCTTTAGTTGAAGATAGTTTAGTTTCTTTCACTGCTTCTACTCTTGTCTTGTCTAGTGGTATAGGTTCAATAACTACTGACACACACACACACAGTAGAGGACTATACCTTGCTGACTAGCCTCAAGGAGTGCTTCCTGCAGTGAGATCTTGTTTCCCTCAGATACTCTTAACTCCTGCTGCAACGATTCCACATAATTTTGTAGTTTTACTTCTCTCTCTGTAGGGTATACTATAAACTGATCTTGCCACCATTGTCTCTTCTTTAATAATAACTGATACTTGTCTTGATAGGCCCCAGTAGTCAGACCAGTAGAATCTAGTACTTCACTTACTCTCCATTCACCTTCTCTTAAAACTAATACAAACATGAACGAGGAATAATTCATGTATGTACATGTACATGTAAACATGATGTAATGCTGTTACTAATAATAGAACACAATACATGTAGCATTAGAGGGTAAAATACTATATAAATGTTATGCATTAATTGTTGTTTTATTCACAAATTACAAACCCAGAAAATACATTTTAAGGGACAATTGCTAAAATAAAGTGCCGCCCAAATGGCACCAATACACTGCACTATACACAGAACATGCTAATTTGGTTATGTCAACTATCATTGCAGTTCATTATAACAATAATAATTCCCTCATGTTATGTTATCGAATACCAGCAATGATGTATTCAAACTTAAACTTAAGTT